AAATATTCCAACTGCCCAAATTGTTCATCGAGAGTATGTAAAGGAGGAAAGCAGTGCCCAGCAGCAAATCGTGAGTGCTTTGACTGTGGTAAAACAGGACATTTTAAAGGCTCGGCAATATGTAAAAAGAAGAGAGAGAAGATTAAACCTCGCACTCGGCGGGTAGAGAGCAGTAGCAGTAAGGATGAAAGCTCTGATACTGAAACATGCACATCTGAAAGTGACTCAAGTTCTAGCCAGAATATTAACCGTGTACGGTTCATGAAGAATGTTACAAAAATACGACACATGCGTATTCGCCAGCAGATGCGCAAAACATCAGAAAAATCACGCTATCAAGTTGAGGTGATAATTAAAGAGCGAAGAGTAAGTGCATTTGCTGACACAGGGGCGGATATTTGCGTAATGTCTAGGAAACAAGCTCAAGCTTTGGCTTTGCCCCTTGGAAAAACGAAGATGAAAATACGCCCATATGGATCAAAATCAGTAAAATGTTGTGGTTACTATATAGGCACAATCATGCATGGAGAATCAGTTGCCAATGCATGCATATACGTGGTCAAACAGGATCTTGAAACTTTGCTCAGTGGAAGAGTTTCAGAAGAGCTAGGAATCATAACATTTAACCCAACTCCAGATAACCAACAACCAAGTATTCGGCGCAACACAGAAATCAGAGATGACGTTAAAGCAAGCATTATTTCGCAATATCCAGAGGTATTTACAGGTATTGGTACATTAAAAGACCATTTTGTGAAGTTTCACATAAATGAAAATATTCCCCCAGTAGCTGCACCGGCCAGACCTGTTCCATTTCATTTACGGAAGAGATTTGAGAAAGAGATACAGACCATGGAAGAGAACAATATAATAGAAGAACATATAGGACCAGCACCATGGATTTCAAATGTAGTGCTCGCCCCAAAAGATGATGGTAGTATTCGGGTCACTGTTGACATGCGTCAAGCAAACCGGGCAATTGAATCAACAAACATTCCAATTCCCAGAGTAGAGGACATTAAAACACAACTTGCAAGGTGTCAACATTTTTCTAAACTTGATTTTAAGTCTGCATTCCATCAACTGGAGCTTGATGAAGAGTCTAAGAAGATCACAGTGTTTCATGCAGGTGACCGACTGATGCGGTATCGAAAACTTACTATGGGCACGAAACCAGCCTCTGGCGAGTTGACAAAGGCGCTTCTTCCGCTATTTCAGCCCATTCAAGAAGCACATGTTATCCATGATGACCTCATCATAGCAGCCAAAACAAAGAAACAACATGATCATGCATTAAATCGCGTCCTTCAAGTAATTGCAAAATCAGGAATGACTTTGAATCCTGATAAATGCATGTTTGATAAGGAGGAAATTCCATTCTGGGGACTACGTGTTTGCAAAGATGGTATTAAACCGGACCCAGAAAAGGTCAAGGCATTGCAACATGCCTCACGCCCACGTTCAAAGGATGAACTACAATCTTTCCTCTGTATGATCCAGTCAAATAAAGACTTCATACCAGACTTAGCAAGCAAAACAATGAACCTTCGGATGCGAACAAAGAAACACAGTCGCTTCACTTGGGATAAGGAGTGCCAAAGAGAATTTGACAGGTTGAAAGTTGCATTCAGAGAAGACACTCTTCTCCGCCATTTCAATCCTGAAGAGGATACATTTATTTTTGTGGATGCGCATCTTTCAGGACTATCTGCAATTCTGATGCAAGGAGAGACAAGTGATAGTGCAAAGCCAGTAGCATTTGCCAGCCGTGCCACAACCCCAGTAGAGCAGAGATACCCACAGCTAGACTTAGAAGCACTAGCCATTGACTTTGGATTGCGTCGGTTTCGCTACTTTATTGCAGGAGGTCCTGAGATCAAAGTCGTTACAGATCATAAGCCCCTGGTAAGCATTTTTTTTAATGCTAGAAAAGGGTCGGTCAGAACAGACCGGATAAAGCTGCGTCATCAAGACATGAAATATAGAGTAATCTGGAAGGAAGGGAAAGTTAACCCA